CAAAAATAAAGAATAAATATTAAAATTTTTTTTCTTGAAAAAAGATTCACTTAAAGTATTTAAATAATAATAATATTTACAAATTAAGAAAATAACACGTACTAACCATTTTTTTTTTCATTGTACATTTTTATGTTCGAAGTTTATTACTCCGAAATTCAAATATTTTGATGTTAGACTGCTTTCTCAAACTTCACTCGGATGGTACAATAAATGTAGAAAACTTTAAGCCATAAGGAATTGACCAATCACAGTTGAAAGTGAAGAAAATTAGTCGAATATAATTAAGTTTATAATAAAGTTGATTTCTTACTATTATACATATAATTTCTTACTATACATAATTAAATCCAGGCTTAATTGATTAATTTTTGACAATTTTAGGTTTACTATATTCATTGTACTGCACCCATATTACACCCGGGCTTTGTTCATTTTCGTAATGTGTAAATCTAATGAATTATCAAATACTTTTTCCCAAATGAAAATAATAATGAAGATGTCTTCCCTAAATGATTTCTAATCGATTCCATTCATAAAACATATTAAATAAAATCGCTGTCTGCTAACTTGAAAGCATGATAAAATTTGGTAATTACAATACTATTTCTCAAATGTTTAAATGCTTTTCCCAAATTTCCCCAAACGATTCATAATTTTATGTTCTTTATTTATTTTATATTAGATGTACAACTTTGTTTCCGCCGTTTTTTTCGAAATTCGGGCTTTATTGTAAAAAACTTGTTATACATTTATGATTCAAAGTATTGTCCATCGCTGGTCACTACTTTCTCCCATCTTTCGGGTAGCGTACAAATCCCGCGTCGAAAAAACTGGTCATCTTTTGAGGCTATCCACGAATCGATCCAATTTTTTACTTCTTCATAAGACCGGAAGTGCTGGTCAGCCAGGCCGTGTGCCATTGATCCAAACAAGTGATAGTCAGAGGAAGCAACGTCTGGAGAATACGGCGGGTGGGGTAGGACTTCCCATTTCAACGTTCCAAGAATGTCTTGACCACTTTTGCAACATGGGGTCGAGCATGCTGCAAAATCACTTTATCGTGTCTTTCGTTGTATTGCCGTTTGTTTTTCAATGCTCGGCTCAAACGCATCAATTGCGTTTGATACCGATCGCCTGTGATTGTTTCAGTCGGTTTTAACAGTTCATAATACATTGCGCCGAGCTGGTCCCACCAAATACAGAGCATGACCTTGGACGTCAAAATCACCGTTCTTGAAGCGTTGAAACCACTCACGACACGTTCTTTCACTATAATAGCGGCCTCACCATAAATATTTGAGAGCATTCGATGAGCCTCAGCCGCAGATTTCTTCATATTGAAGCAAAAAATTAAAACCTCCCGCAAATGACGAGAATTTGGCTCGTAAACTGACATTTTCAATCGAGAATAACTTTATGATGCAGACACAAATCGACTAATGTTTCTATGGGGTTATGTTGACAGATGCCCAAGTTTATTGTATGACGTCTATGATCTATTTATTTCGACCACTACTTACCGCTAAAGCCATCTATAGGAAAACGGCGGAAGCAAAGTTGTACACATAATAATAGGTTCTATATATTTTTTATGTTCTATTATTTTAATATTTGTACAAAATTAGAGAATACATTTTATCAATATATATTTAATCAATATATGTTTTCAACAAAATCATCTATGTCAATATTTGATACTTATGGTGCTGTAGATATTAAAATTATCATTACAGATTGTATTAAATATTATATTTTTGACATTTATATAAAATATATAATTCTTATGTTTTCAACAAGCAAAAATCTCATAAAAATTCCATTGAGTCGTAAGGAATATTCCGTTTATTTCCATTGTTTTTTTGAGCAGGATTTTATGTTTTCAAACAAGATGAAAATTACAAGAGTGAACAAATTTACTAGATGTTGACTAATGAAATTATCAGTAAGTTTTAGTAAATTTCGTTTCAAGATACAGAAACGATCCTCTGATTCATTTAGCGCTAGTTTCTGATCTAATTATTCGTCGGTATGTATTTTATAAGCTTTTAAATTTTGTTTTAGCTTCATTGATTGTAATTTTCCCATTTAAAGTATTTGCTACTTCTAGCCTACTTCTAGCATAAATTTTTTGTAATTTTATGTAGTGATAGTGGAAATTTATAATTCTAAAAAGACTCTCGTAACTGGACTTCTAAAATGAGAGTTTCTTCATCATCATTGAAAGTTTCTTAATAAAAGAATACGTAATTCTCATTTAAGTCCAGTCACATTTAATTAGAACAGAACATATAAACAAGTTTACCTCTCGTCTAATAAGAGATTCAAATATTAATTAATTGATAAACAAGATAAGAACAAAACTTCACAGTATAACAATAATCTTAATATTTAGTCAATTAAACAGAGATAAATTCTAGTACTTCGTACAGAGACAGATTGCTTATTCTAAACTTATTTGAAACTAGAAAGTTATCTAATATCGCCTCGCAATTAACACAACTGCTTGGTACTAAGATCCGTAGGAAAAAGGAGTGAGCAACAGAGATGTTCTAAACTTTGGATAGATGAGTAACTTCCGAAATAAGTGTCATTTTTATTGATTAGTTTAATGCAATTAATATTTACTGATCGATATTATAATTCACATTCTCAACAATCATGATTAAGTTTGCTTTTAAATCTTCATTTGAATTTCTTTGTTTCTCACAAGAATTTTGTTCAGATAATATTCCTAGTATGGGCGTAACAAAAGCTAAATAAAAAACTAAATACATTAGAAACAATAAAAAAAGTTTTCATTATTTTTATACAAATTTATTATCTATATTTGTCTTGTGTGATTGCTTATATTTATTTTTTGTTTATGCTTGGCATTCTGCTTTTTATTACAATTATTCCATTATCTGCAAGATATTAAATAATAACATGTATTAAATTAAGTAAATAAAAATATATATTAAATAATAAATATAATAAAATGTCTATCTTTTAATGTCTATATATAACAATTATAGGAGATAATTTATCTAATAAAGAATAAAAATATAATGTATCAGGTTCAGTTATGTATTGTGTATAATCTTTTAAACAAGCATGATGACAAGAGAATATCTGCTTGCTCGCAGATCGTTTTATGTAATCCACACGTTTGTACGAGATTGAGAGAGTTATCCTGAAAAATTAAATTTAATGCAACAAATATTTCTAAATTACTTCTAATTTGTTAGTATTATTATTTTATCATATTTTAGCTAATTATAATCTTTTAGTCCTTGTAAAATTGAGGTTATAATATATGTATTTTTAAGATATATCATTTGGTTCGTACGATATTATTGAAGATCGTAAAATTTAGATGTAAAATTTGTAAAAATTAATTACATATGTCAAAGTCCATTTTTTATTTTGAGATGATTCAGTTCGAGAGTCGAGATGAACAAAGTTCCAGCGACGATGCTAATTGTTATTCAATTTAACTTCTTTGACGCTAGCGTCAAGTAGAATGGTCACATATCTTTTGACGCCGAAATAGAGCGTCGAGCGTCAATATGAAATGGCACCTTAAACATAATAGGCACAGGCAATAAGCACAGACAACAAGGAATACTGAGCTATCCAATTAGAGCTCTGGGATATAATATCGAACTTGTACACCGGAGCTCTGATGGTTCATTATTTCCTGTTGCCTATGCTTATTGCCTGGGCCTATTGTGTTTAAACCTAACACGGATCTATAATAGGTGTTTTAAGCCTTAAGTCGTAAGAAATTGATCAATTACAGTCGAATTTAAAGAAGAATAATTAATTCGTCCATTTCTTATGACTTATGGCTTAAAACTCTATTGTAGATCCGGATAAAAGTTTTGAGTCTACGATGCTAGAAATCAGTCCGAGACATTTATTAATCGCAATAGTGTGACCAAATTGTTCAAATATGATTTGTTAGCTTTTTCTCTGTCCGAGATCTCGGACCGATTTCTATTTTATTATATTTCATAGTGGACATCAGACTTTATAAGGGTGCAAACCTATGCAGCGGAATTAGGAACGAGAGCAGAATCAATCACAAACGTTTTGCAATTTTCATTACGCGGCTAGGAATTCCTTCATCCCCGCTTCCCATGAAGCGGAATGAGCATAAACGGAATGAACAGCAAATCCGTATATATATAATTTTTTAAGCGGGAAATACAAACTCTTGCATAATGCATAATACATGAAGCAGAAGAAAATGAACCAATCAGAGTTCTTTATTTTACGGAAAGGAAGGAAATAAAAGATTTTTTTTTTTATTGAGCAGGACAGAAATATATATTTTTCTTTCTTCTTCTATCTTCTTTTGGCACATGCGCAAAAAGAAGAAAAGTTATTGAGTAGAACAGAAATACATCTTCTTATAAATACAATCTTCTGTTTCTTGCTCACACTTTCCACTCTTTGGCTGCGTTTAGCAGAACACAACAGTTTTTCAACCGTTTTATAATTCTCTGCTGAGATAGGACTATTCCTCTTGATCTAAAAACATAATCCAATCAGCGCGAAGAAAACTTCCAATAGTTGTAATAAACATTCTGCTGAACGTAGTCATTGCTTGGATAGGCTATTTCCCCTCCAGTAGTATAAGCTCTATGGTTTTTCCGAAGCCATAGGTTTGTTGCGTCGCATGCTCCCGTATGTGTAATATGCTCCTATCATAGTTCTTATTCATTTCAACGCGTTTAATAGAGTTTCATGTTTCGAGCATATGTTCGAGTTGATTTCTTTTTTAGGGGAATAAGAATTTCAACCTATCAAAAACTGTGTATTCCACAATACATGATTTCTGATAGGTTGAAATTCTTATTCTCTATTCCCTGTTTCTTTTATTGTGCGGAATCCCTTATTCTATGGTTATATGTCTGCAGCAAATCCAAGTAGGGGATCTAGAAGAATTGTTTTTCTCTGTAACTGTTTTTTACTCGTTTCATTATAAATTTTCAAGTCACAATGTCTGATGATTCCGAATATGACGTAGAACCGGAAGAAGTTGATATTTACAAAAAGAAATATCAATTACTATTGGATAGATGTGAAGTTTTACAACAGGTTAAGTCTCTTCCTTGAGGAATGAAATCATTATCGACGGTTTTTTTAAACTATATAGTATTTTTTAAACAATAGGAAAATGAGAGGTTGGTCTACAGAATCCAGAAAGTAAGGAAGCTTCTTCGACGCACGAGGAAAGAGAAAAAGTTAATTTTATAAGTTATATTGTTTAATATCTAAAATTTTTTTATTTTTTCATCATCTGTGATATTGATTTGTAGATTCTTGATTGATCGATTGGATCGACATGGAGATCGATGGCGGGAAGCTCCAATGGGTGTACTTGAAGAGAACAGTGTGTTTCAAACAACTCCAAAATTAGAGAAAGGGGGAAAAGGTACCTTTCATAATACTAAAGAGGAGAAGCCCAGAAAAGGAGCAAAAAGAAAGAGCACAAAAGCTGATCCAAATGCACCAAAAAGACCTGCTAATCCTTTCTTCCAATTTTGTCAAGAGCAAAGACCTCGTGTGATGGAACGTTTAGCTGGAGAACCAGAGCCTAGTAAGCAAGAACTTACTAGACAACTGGCAACTACTTGGAAATCTCTCAGTTCTGAGGATAAAAAAGTAAGATGTAACATTATTTACATGAGTATTGACTTTGATTGTGTTTTGACTTGTTTATTACACATTGTTTCAGGTATATTATGACATGTATGAAAGATCCAAAGAGAAATATGTCGCTGAAATGCAAATATATAATAAGAAGACTGAAGATGCACCATGTCAATTGTCAATAAATATAACATAATATTTGGCAAAGGAATGAATATTAATTGTGGAAGAAGAATAATCATAATTTTGTAAAAACAGTACAATAGCAATTATAAACAAAAAAAATTACAAATATTTATAGATAATTTCGTGTATCTGCTTTTGATTCATCAAGCGTGTCAATAATGCGTGTGCAAATACATTTGATCGACATTGATAAATATATCAAAAATAAAAGCAAGAAATCAAGATAATCCGAGAAATTTTTATGCAAAAAAATTTACATTGTAAAGATAAAGGATTGCGATAAAATGTGACAACTAAAATTCAGGAAGTTGAATGAACGACAGATAAATGAGAAAAAAAGAGAATAGATATCTGAATATTTTGTTATTGGATATCATACATATGAACTCATACATATGAACATAAAAATAAAATTTGTTTCAGTCATCTATTTTTTATATTTTAAATTTATATTAACAACTACATACATAAATATTTGATGAATATAAAAATGAAAGTGTTTTATCGAAAATTTAAACTTTAAAGTTATCTTTCTCACGCCGTAAGTATGACATTGTCTGAATGGGATCATTTTGTTGTGTGTGTTTCATAACGGATAATTCATGCACTCTCATAAACGGATTTGTCAGCTTTTCATCTTTAATAGTGCTAGGCATTGTTGGAAGATTATTAGCACGTTGAATGTGTACCTGATCCAATTTTTGTTGTATTGCCACATTCTCAGGTTCCACGTGTAAACCAAACTTGAGATTGTTGATAGTATATTCGTGTCCACAATACACCTTCTATAAATTATAAAAATAATTCGTTTGAGAACTAAATTATAATTTTACTCTAATACTACTTACTATTCCAATATTACTTACTGTCGCTTCAGGTAAAGAGCCTAGAACTTCGATGAGTGCTTTATACATTTGATCTGCGGTACCTTCGAAAAATTTCCCACAGCCTCCAGCAAACAGCGTGTCCCCTTTAAGCGAGTTAAACATTATTATATTTGATCATTTTCTTCTATTATATACCTAACTTTACCTGTGAATACAGATGGTGAATTTTGTCCTTCTCCTGTGACATAGTAACAAATGTGCCCACGTGTATGACACGGTGTTGCTAGACACTTGACTGATAAATTGCCAATACTGAATGTATCATTGTGCACAATTTTACGATTAATGGCTTCTACTCTGTCATCTCCACCATATATCATGAGATCGGCGAAACTTTTAGATAACTTGGCGTTTCCTCCCGAGTGATCCCAATGATGATGAGTAGTTAAAATCTTTGTTAATTTGACATCATTTTGTTGGACAGCTGCAGTTACAGCTTCTGGATCGACAGGATCTACAATAGCAGCTTCCTGTGTTTCTTCATCGATAATCTTATGAAATTTCAAAAAAATTATATGACAAGAATATGAAATAAAGATATTAAAAAATTTGGTATGTTAACTATGTTTTATCATGACATTTATTCTATTGTATATTGAATGACTGTAGAGATTTTGTGTGTATGTGTGTGTGTATGTATGTGTGTACAGAGTGTCCTTAAATCGAATATCTTGGATATTTCATTTATTTTTGATAATATAAAAAAATGTTTCAAATGAAAGTTGGAATAGTTTATAGTTTGGGGTATACAGTTTGGTCACGTTATTTTCTTTCTAGGTGGAGACGTCAAAAAGATATGAAGGTCATTTCCACTTTTTTAAATGGAATTATGTAACTTTTAATATATATATATAT